CAAGATGCCTTATGTGAATACGCAGAAAATGTGTATTTTGCAATTTCCCTCCCTCCCCCCTCTCCCATGCAAATTGCGATTTTTTCTAACTCCCGTAATTCTTGGAATTTAAAATTTTGCCAATACCCCCAGTTAGTTATTATGTGTCCGTATGCCAAGTTTCAATATGATAGACCGATTTAACAAGAAGTTATAGCCATAAATATATTTGCTGCTGCAGCGCTGCTCAAGCGCTGCCCGCGACTGTTGATGCTGGTGCTTTGGTTGACTGCACACATGTTTACACAGACACGAATAGATGCGCATAGGCATACTTACACTCACACAGACGGAATTGCTATGTAAATGTGCAATTATACACCCTTTACGTGAGTTCGAATACCGAAAAAGGTAAAATCGATCAAAAATTGTTTTTTTAATTTTCTTAATTTTTTTTATTTTCTATAATTATTGTAAACATATGTACAGAGTATTTCAAAGTCGGGACACCCGACTTTAGCTTTTTTACTTGTTTGTTTAATGCTTTTTCATAAAATGAAATTGGAATCAAAGTACACGGAGCACCAGTGTTGCAAGCAATTTTCGTAGAGAAACCGTCTATAATTACAGACAGATGATAAACTCCACCAGAGGATTTTTAAGCCACGCTGTATATCGAAAAATCAAAAGAATTAGTTTGAGAATTTGATTCATTATTTGAATTCGATACATAATTTACTGCTTTTTGAAATTTTGATCTGCAAACAGATGCTAAATGTCCCATTTTGCCACATGAATGACACGTGCACATTTTGTATTTGCAGTCATCCGACTTATGATTTCTCCAGCCGCAATGTGTGCATGGTTTGTTTGCCTCTTCCATTTTCGCTGTCGCTCTTCTGCTTTGAGTTCAGCCCTTTTCCAGTGCTTCCAAAACCTCCGTTGCTGCTCTCGTTGTTACTTCGGTTCGCATTCTGCTTGTTCCCGTTACGTGCGCTGCCCATGTAGTTAACGCTATCATCAGATCTTGTTGTTGCTATTTTGGTTTCTATTATCATATATAACGGAAATGTAATGTATTAATAATTCACACGAGGTCTTTTACATTATGTTAGGTCTTTATTCATTGCCACTTCGTTGCGTTCTCCTTCCTTGTCTTCTTACATATTTTCTTTCTTCTTAACTTTTTTTAGTGTGGCTGTGTTGGTTTTTTTTAAAAACGGCAAACAAATCTTAATATCCAACAGGAAATATAAGCAAAAGAAATGACGCCTATAAGTTGTCAAAACTATCTACACACATTTTATTTGCGTTTTTTTTTTTTATTTTATTGAAACGAAATTATAGCTAGGGAGATAAAATTGATCAAAAATCTTCTTACTTTTTATACCCTGTACCTGTAGAGTAAAAAGGGTGTATTAGGTTTGTGCTAAAGTATGTAACATGCAGAAGGAAGCATCTCCGACACCATAAAGTATATATATTCTTGATCACCATGACGAGAAAAATCGATCTAGGCATATCCGTCCGTCCGTTCATCCGTCTGTCCGTTCGTTCGTCTGTCCATCTGTCTGCAAGAATCTCAAAAACTATAAAAGCTGGAGTAACCAAAGGACAAATTTATTTTATATTTTGGAATTTCCCGCCCTTCCCCTGTTACAGAAATTCGTCAATACTGTTCACATTTCAAAAGCTACATAAACCAAAGTTTGCACACGCTATATATAGTTATCTACTTTTGTTTTAAATTTCATGCAATTTCACTCCGGCACTACGTCCACAAGCTGCAGCATCAAGTTCGCTTTTCTTCTTCCTCTATTTGCTTCTGCTATGGGCGCATATAACTCAGTCCCGAAAGTTCGTCTGGGTACAGGGAATTTCACTGTCGGGTTTGCTCTACTGTAGCCCTTTCACTTGTTTTTCTGTTGTTTTTTTAATTCTATAAATATTCAACATATATGTATAGAGTATTTTAAATCGAAGCACCCGACTTTAGCTTCTCCACTTGTTAAATATATACCATTCAAATAGTACATTTCAAGAACTTACTTGATCTTTTGAAAATCTTACATTTAAGATTTTCGTGTCACGTGAAATCTCTTCAAAATCGATGCAGAAGTCAAGCTTAAGCAAAACTTTTTGTTTCTAAAAATATCTTAAGTAAATTTGATATTTATGGACGGACAGACAGACGGACGGACATGTCTAGATCGATTTCTCTCGTCATGCTGATCAAGAATATATATACTTTATGGTGTCGGAGATGCTTCCTTCTGCATGTTACATACTTTAGCACAAACCTAATATAGCCTTTTTACTCTACGGGTACAGGGTTTAAAATGTAAGAAGAATTTTGATCGATTTTATCTCCCTAGCTATAATTTCGTTTCAATCAAATAAAAAAAAGACCGCAAATAAAATGTGTGTAGATAGTTTTGACAACTTATAGGCGTCATTTCTTTTGCTTATATTTCCGTTATATAAACCTTTACCTTTTTGATTGTTCTTTCATTTGATTCTGCATAGAACAAACTATATGAAATTTTTTTTCGGAACTAACATCCAACATCATTAACAAAAGGTTCGATAGTGGAATATGTTAAAAAAAAACACAGTGTGTAAATACATTTGGCCACCTTTGTCCATAAACAAGACATATTTGTGCAAAACATAAACATTTCATGTATATGTGCAAAAACTGTTTTAAGTATTTTAAGTTAAATATTCTTCCATGCAGCTCATTTGTGGTTCCGGTATTACTGATAAACCATAGAAGTCGAGAATTTGATTAAAAATAATTATATGTGCAAAACAACTTAGTTGCCTTCTGTGTGCGTTTAAGTGAACAAATAATTTTAATTTCTTTATGCAAGTGCAACTATAGTAAAAAAGTGAGTAAGGGATTGCGTAAAGAAAAACGAGAGATTATTAATATTAGTTAATTTAATAGTAAGAAATGCCGCGTGGAACGTAGTTGTCGGATGAAGAGCGCGGTAGGATACGAACAATGAGCGATACTGGTATAACAATTGGCCAAATAGCTTCTGCCATAAATCGGCACCGAAACACAGTAACAAACTTTTCAAAAAAATTAAGATAATTATGGCGTTGCGAAGCGGAGCGGTCGAATTGCGGCCGTAGATGAGCGGATTAAAGGACATATCCGACAGTTAGCTACTAACAATAGCATGAGCTGTAGGCAAATAAAGGCGGAATTAGAATTGACTATCACTAGAAAAGGTGTGCCGCAAATAATGAAGCACCACCTTGGCTTTGATTTTGTGACAAAGCTCGACAACCCTCAACTATATCAAGGGTACAAAGATGCACGTATGGCATTCTTCAATAAGTACCGATTTTAGGAGGAAGAATTTGAGGATGTCATTTTTAGCGATGAAAAAAATTAAACTTGGACGGTCCTGATGGTAAGCACAAATATTGGAGGGATATTCGAAGCCCAGGCACACCCATACAAGCGCACCTATGGGGGAGGATCGCTAATGGTATAGGCTTCCTTTAGCTCAAAAGGAAAGTCCCAAATACGCTATGTCCCGAGTAAAATGTACGCCGAAAAGTATATAGAACTGTTGAACAGTGAGTTCATATCATTTGAGAGCAATTCCATGGCGGTTGGTGGACATTCTAGCAAGACAACGCTCCCATTCATGTTGCAAGCATCACAAAAGAGATAATCCGGACCAGCAACATACCGTTGGTACAGTGGCCAGCGTTGAGTCCAGCCCTTAATATTATAGGGAATATGTAGGGCATACTTTCTGCTAAAATATTTGCATATTCCAAGCAGTACTCAAAAGCAACTTAAAAATGCAATTATAGAGGTGTGGGCATAAATTAAATCGGTTACATTAAGAAATTGGTGAATTCTATGCCATGGAGAGTGGTATTTGGTAAAGCAGCACAATGGAAACAGTATACCATACTAAAATGTACATAATATTTAAGTCGATTTTTACAATAACATACCATTTTAGTACAATTTGGTTATTTTGCACATATAATTATTTTCTATGGGGTTTCGAAAAACAATTAGGTTTTTATTCTCTGTACATAAAATGTACAAGAGTATATTAGGTTTGCGGGAGCTGAAAATGTAACAAGCAGAAGGAGGCGTGGCAGACCCCACAAAGTATATATATTCTTGATCAGCATGACGACACGAGTCGATCTAGCCCTGTCTGTCTGTCTGTCCGTATGAACACCTGGATCTCAGATACTATAAAAGGTAGAGAAACCAAACTTTTCACAAAGATGCGTTATGTGTGTACGTTGTGCAATTTGTTTTCCCCCCACTTCCCCCCTATGGGGGTTTTCCCGATTTTCCATTCGTATAATCGCATATATCTCGGAGGCTATAAGACCTAGGGACACCAAATGTTAGTCCAAGATGCCTTATGTGAATACGCAGAAAATGTGTATTTTGGAATTTCCCTGCCTCCCCCCTCTCCACCGAAAGTAACTCCCGTAATTCTTGGAATTTCGAACTCAAATTTTGCAAAAACCGACAGTTAGTAATTATGTGTCCGTATGCCAAGTTTCATCATGATAGACCGATTTAGCAGGAAGTTATAGCCATAAATATATTTGCTGCCCAACCGCTGCCCAAGCGCTGCCCGCAGCTATTGTTGATACTGATGCTTTGGTTGACTGCGAACATGCTCAGACAGACACGAATAGACGAGCATAAACATACATACACTCACATAGAAGCAATTGCTATGTAAATGTGCAATTATACACCCTTTACGTGAGTTCGAATAGAGGTAAAATCGATAAAATTTTTTTTTTAATTCTCTTACTTTTTTATTTTCTTTAATTATTCTAAACATATGTACAGAGTATTTCAAAGTCGGGACACCCGACTTTAGCTTTTTTACTTGTTTATATAAATAAAATTATATGAAACTTGATTTTTTGTTTCCTATCACACCCCACTTCCCCCTCGAAGAAATTTTGTAGTTTGTTTTCAGACATAATTTCATAAATAATTATATTTTTGTTAGTCCTTCAGGTTGCACCTTTTGGGGGAAAAAGCCTTGGTCTCGTAAAAAAAAAGTTATTTGGCAACTTGGCACTCTTATTGGAGCTCCAATCGGAATAGCCCTTCTTGCCGGAATTGCGGTGCCATCAATTCTTATTGGTAAGCAAATACAATTTTTTTAATGTGTGTCATGGCGAACGCGATAGAAGTGAAACCTAATGGTTGTATTGACTTAATTAAATTAAAGTTGTTTTTTTTAAATTGTTAAGGAAGCATTTATAATTATTCAAGAATGGCTAAAAATGCTTGAAACCTTGTGAATAATTTAAAAATCCACTAGAAAATGGCAAGATGCACTATGTGAATACGGAGAAAATCGACTCGGCTTTTCACCATGATCAAGAATATATATACTTTATGGGGTCTGCCCCACCACCTTTTATGTGTTATATACATTCGCAGAAAACTAGAAGTCGAAGGGATTGTTCGTAGCCTAATTCGACCAGTTTGTCCGAGGCGTTGACATGGTGGAAGAATACTTATTTCTTCGCCAAATGGGGCAATTTTGTATGCAATCCGGCGACGAATCTGACCAATGCGGCATAGTACAACTCTGTGATAGTTTTGCCTTCCCCAGATAATCAATGTAGATCATACCTTGTAAGTACCAGAAAACGATGGACATCACCTTTCCGGTCGATAACAGTTTTCGCTTTCTCCGAAGCATATTCGCTGGAAAAAGTCCACTGTTTCGCTTATAAAGCGTCAAACACTGCTCTGAAGCGGTCCCACGGTTGCGATTGTTGTCCGGAGTGAGCAAACGCAGTATTCATCGTGCCAAAAGCTCTCTCATGCTCAATACTTTATTCAGAATATGGTACACGCGGTGTTATGAGATACCTATTGCTTCGGCTATCTCGCGCACCTACAACTGGCTGTCTTTTGAGATCGTGGACACCTGATCGTGGCACATCAAAAAGCGACTTGTGACCACGTTGAAACTTAAACCAACCAATAAACTTGTTGCTGTTGATTCAGATACAGATTCTATATTGGCGCAATTTAATAGTTTCCTTATCTACGGTCTCATACAATCTATATTAGAATAATTGTTATCCGTTCTTCTATTTTTAGGCATTCCTGTTTGGGTAGGAAGGAAGCTACTAACTCGGTATAAGGCAGCATCAAAAAGGAAAAGAAATATATCAGTTGGTGTTGGAGTAGCAGCTTCGGTATGTTAAAATTATGTCTTAAAATAGACGCTGAGTACTCTTTCAGGATGGAAATGTATTTAAATGTTGCTGCACAAATACATATGTATAGGTAAAACAAGAAAGGAATGCTAAAGTCATGCGGGCTCAACTGTTAAATACCCTGTACCCACTCCCACAAAAAAAATGTGTTTTCACCCTTTGGGTAATTCTAGGTCTTCTTTCTGTGTTTACATACTAATATACTCTTGGTCCTTTCAGGCACCTGTTTGCTTCTCTAGACAAAGGTAATCCGGCCTACGAGATAAAATACTTGTTTGACCTTGAATATCACCGTAAAGAGTCCGATGGTGACTGTATTATTGTTTGTTTTTATACCCTGTACCCAAAGGGTGAAAGGGTATATTAGTTTTGGCCGAATGTATGCAACACACAGAAGGAAGCGTGACAGACCCCACAAAGTATATATATTCTTGATCAGGGTGACAAGCCGTGTCGATCTAGTCATGTCTGCACTGACAGGGTAGTGCAAGACGAATGTACATACATGAGTACATACATTCACATTTTAGTGAATGGCCGAAAAGCTATGTGCAATCAACGCACAGCCAAAACGGTAAGAGCTAGCAATATGCAATATGCAACACACAGAAGAAAGCGTGGCAGTCCCCACAAAGTATATATATATTTTTGATCAGGATGACAAGTCGAGTCTATATAGCCATGTCCGTCCGTCTGTATGAACGCAAGGATCTCAGCAAGTGCAAGAGCCAGAATAACCAAACTTGGTATCCAGATTCTCCTAAATCTGAGAAAGGACGAGGTTGTGTTTTTTTTTTCTCAGACAAAATTCCTCCAGTTAGTGTGATAACGATTCCGTATGCCAAGTTTCATTATGATAGGTTTATTATGAAGAAAGTTATAGCCATAAATATTCTGTCTGCCGACGCTCTGCCCGCAGTTGTTGTTGTTGCTGCTTTGACATAATTATGTAATGCACACATACAAATTAAGATGTTCCTCACGTCGATTATTATTATGATTTACCGAAGGTTATTTCACTGATGATTAATTCATTATTTAACACAGTGCTTTGTTGCACTAATAAAGAGCTCACTAGTACCGAAAGGTGTAATATCCCAACATCAACTGAAGACTAAGAACATAATTTCTGATAACCAAAGCTAGCCCTGTGTCTTAAATATGCTGACACTGCGCCTCGTGCATGGCGTCGCATATCGACTGCTTACGTCGCGGAGCGTTGCACTCAACATTGTCGGCTCTCGTTGTGCAATATCCGCGGACGTTGCTGATCTCGCACTATTATCACGCCGGCTCTGCGTGGTCGATTTGGTAAATTCGTTGTCGCTAAGTGATCGTGTTAACTTACATATGTACAAGTACACAGACACGCATATTTTTTAAATTAATTTCTTAATTTATTATTTTGTAGGGTGGTAGCATTCCTTTCTTGTGTTGTTGTGGGGTGGTACAGGGTATTTTAGAGTTGAGTCCCCTCGAATTTAGCATTCCTTTCATGTTCTTATTAGTTTTATAAAGTTCTGTATACAAAACAAGTTGTTTCGGATTTAAAATACTTCATATATATATATGTATTTATAACGTGCATTTTGAGGACTTGAAATTTATACACACATAGTGGAAAAGCTAAAGTCGGTTGTTTCGGCTTTGAAATGCTGCATATATATATGTATGTATAACGTGCATTTTGAGGACTTGAAATTTATACACACATACCCATACCATCATAAAAATTTCACACATCACTCATGTGATCTTGTGTATCATACAATGTTTATTATTGATACCAAGATATATGATATAGTTTAAAATAGGAATATAATGTAAAATGATTATGGCGAATATTAGCATATGCAGCTAATGCACTCTGGTTCGACGGCTGACTTCTCTGACGGCTTCTCTCTGCTTCTTCTTCTGACTGCTGACTTCTGCTTCTTTCTTTACGGCTGACGACTGTGTTCGTAGTGCGGCTAACAACTTACTACTGACAACTAAGTACATTTCTACTGACTGCTTAAAACCAAAATGAGTACCGAGTACTGATGGCGATGCTGCTTCTAGGTGTTCCGCCATTCTCACTATCCTGCCTTCCCATCTTACATTCGGCTATCCTGTACTAGTCATCGGCCTCCGATGACCACAAGTCTTCGTTTTCTGCGATATAGCGCCAGAGCCGCATATTATCGCAACTTGTTGCCGTGCTATTCGGCCCTTCGACGTCTGCAGCCTTGCGCACTTCATATCGCCCGTTACGTTTAATTTTTGTAATTTCATATGGTCCCAGATAGCTGCTGGCTAGCTTTCTCCCAGCTACGAATTGTGTTCGGCGGATTGCGACTAGGTCACCCAATTTATAACCATATTCGTTCTTCCGCTTTTTATCGAACTGCTTTTTCTATCTTTCCTCGCTGCTTGTCTTATTTTCTGTCTTTCGTCATCAAAGTTGTCGCATATCTCCTTTTCCAGCAGTTGCAACACCTCATTTTCGGCCGTAGTTCTCATCTTTACGCCAAACATGAGTTCGAATAGCGACTTCTTCGTTGATACATGAATGGTGCTGTTTATAACCTTCTGTACTCTAGGACTCTCTGATGACAGCTTGGATATGATTTGTAGTATCGACCGGTTAACGCGCTCTACGTCGTCGACTATAGCAAAAATGTATTTATATTGCTTCGCTGTGGCGTCCATAGGTCCGAGATGGTCAACATGCAATGTGTGCAATGGCTCTCCTCCTTTCTCGACGGGATGAAAAAAGCCTTCCTTTTTACCCAACTGTATTGTGTGGACAATACATTTAATACAATTGGCGATAACATGAGCAACTTTTCCTTCCAAATGTGGTATCCAATAGCTTTGCTTGATCAAGTGCGTTGTCTTTTGAACAGCCCAGTGTCCAACATTGTGGGCGTCGACAATTATTTCCCGCTCCATTGACTTCGGTATAACCAGCAGATCAGTTCCTTCTATCGACTTAAACAGCAATCCTCCTTTGATTTTAAAATTGTCATAGGGGCGACTGCTTAAAATCTCAAAAATAGCTTTGATCATACAATCTTTTTGTTGAGCTGCTTTTATACGGGCTGAGACTTCTGACGTGACCACCATTACTTACTGTGGGTAGCGACTCAGACAATCGACGTGTCTAAGACGATCTCCACTCCTGTGCTCCACTTTATACTCGAAGTCCTCCAAGTTTTCAGGCGGGTTGTTTTCTTTCATTGCATCAATATCAAACGGATTTTCATCACCCTGATCCTCAACGTCATCGTGTCCCTCATCTACATTGTTCATAGCGCCAAGGTCCATTTCCTCTGGCTCTGGTGGCTCCTCAAGCTCATTGTGAAAGACATTGGTTTGCTCTTCGTCCACTTCGGGACTCCTAATATCATCAATGTCCTTAGCTTGCTCCTTACGTTTATCCTCGGAGTTTGGCTCGTTGGTGGCGTCTAGCCCATCTTTTTCATGCTCATCCTTTCCATCTTCATTGGCCGCATCATTTTTTATGTCCAAATTGTTATGAGCATCCTTTAGTGCCCTTGCCTTGATCCTCATCATTCATTTCGTCCTGCTCATTTTTTTCTTCTTCATTGTCACCCCAAATTTGTTCGTCCGGTTTTTCAGCACCATCCTCGGTTTCGCCCATTTCTTTATTAAGATCCTCCTCGTCTTCGGATTCGCCACTATCGTCCTCCAAAACTATTTTGAGTTCGATCGGACACTCAGCAGTCTTCTCGGTCGCCTTGAACTCGGATATCATTGACTGTACAGCAGATTTGAACTGAGGAGGTATTTCAGGATCAGTATTTGTCTCAACTACATTATAAATACTTATCTGATGGGGAGAAAACTTAAATCCAGCCGCCGTCACCGTGACATTAAACTTTGATAGAAAGTCGTACCCAAGCAGCGCGGTGCATCCAATGTCACCATTAACCACTACCAAGAACTTGTGTAACACCTTCATACTGTCGATCTCCACCTCTGCTAGAAATTGACCCACCGGGCGTATCCTGTTAGTGCCAAAGCCTCGAAGTGTAGCCACGTTCTTCTTTGCTGCTGTCTTCCGTTTGGCATTTCAGGGTCAATAGTTGCACTAGCTATTGCATGGTAACGCTGTTTTCGGCTGTTGTGATTCTATTCGTTTCTTCTTGCATTTTTTTTTGTTTTTCTCTGTTGCCCTCGGACCTTTCGGGCAACATCGCCTCAAATGATATTGTCAGTGCGTGCTCACTTGTAACGGTTTCTTTGTTCTCTTTGTTATTCATTTTCGTGAGCGTCGACCGCGTTGAAACTGACGGCTTCTTTGTCCTTGAGACTACTTTCCTTTTTCCTTTTAGAATAAACTGACTCACTCGCACTGGCTTCGGCTTTGGTATGTAGCCTGATCTCGTTTTTCTGGCACTCATGCAACTTTAATTGAATTTAATGTACATATGAGTATGCATGCCACTTTTCACGCACCTTTTGTCACTTTTTTTACAGCCTTTTTTTTTCCACAGCTTTCAAAATTTTTAGGTTGAGCTCCCAAATGTGATCTTGTGTATCATACAATGTTTATTATTGATACCAAGATATATGATATAGTTTAAAATAAAACAATAATGTAAAATGATGATGGCGAATATTAGCATATGCAGCTAATGCACTCTGGTTCGACGGCTGACTTCTCTGACGGCTTCTCTCTGCTTCTTCTTCTGACTGCTGACTTCTGATTCTTTCTTTACGGCTGACGACTGTGTTCGTAGTGCTACTGACTGCTTAAAGCCAAAATGAGTATCGAGTACTGATGGCAATGCTGCTTCTAGGTGTTCCGCCATTCTCACTATCCTGCCTTACACTCATATGTACATAGATGGAAAAACATACATATTCAGGGGTACCACAGAAAACTCAGGTGGTTTCGTTTGTTTTTCAGCTGTTTTTGAAAACTACCAAAAAATACGCCGGTGACACAGAACTTCGAAAGATTTCATTTT